CAAATCAGTCCCGGAAAGTACTTTGGTTCAAACTGGTTCGGGTTGATTCGTCCGGCTTAACTTATTCTGCCTTGGTTTAACTCTCTTGGTTATGGTTATCTCCTTTCTAATATCAATTTGTGGCCTGATTTGATTTGGTTAATTATTTTCTGGTGTGGTTCTGTTGTCAGCTTTTGATCAGGACGAGTTGTTTATTTAAAATGGTCCAATTCTCAACTGACAATGGTAGAGAAATGTTTGGTGATAGTCGTGGTGACTCAAGTATAGAGCAAATTCATCAAATCCTAAAATTGCTATCCTCCAATTTACCTTCTAATAACTCATGTGTATCATTGACACAAACAGGTATTTATTCTAAGGTTTTCTCGTGTAGTAACTCATCTCCATGGATTATAGATTCTGGAGCTTCTGATCATATGAGAAGTTCCTCTAATCTCTTTGAATCATACCTTTCTTCATATTCCAATGAAAAAGTTAGAATTGCAGATGGTAGTTTTTCTTCCGTTGCAGGAAAATGAACCATTAAATTGACTGAGACCATTTCGTTACAGTCTATCCTCCCTGTTCCACAATTAGCTTGTAATCTTTTATCTGTCAACCAACTTTCTAAAGATTCTAACTGTCGTGTTACTTTCTTTGATTCCCATTGTATTTTTCAGAATCAGAACTCGGAGAGGATAATTGGCCGCGGTAGGATGCTTGATGGTCTCTACTACTTTGATGAAGGTACCTTTAGTTATAAAATAACTCAGGGTCTTAGTAGTATTAGTTCTCTTTCTGTTAGATTATGCTTTGGTATCGTAGGCTAGGAAATCCCAGTTTTTTCTATTTAAGATATCTGTTTCCAAAGTTATTTAAGGGAATTGATTGTTCATCTTTTAATTGTGAAAGTTGTGTTTTAGGAAAAAATCATCGTTCTACATATTTTCCAAAACCTTATAAAGCTTCCAAACCATTTTATTTAATTCACAGTGATGTTTGGGGTCCTAAAATCAGTACTCATAGTGGAAGAAGATGGTTTATTACTTTCATTGACGATCATTCTCGTCTGTCTTGAGTTTATTTAATGTCAAAAAAATATGAGATGAAAGACATTTTCAAAAACTTCTATGAGATGATTGAAACTAAATTTCAAACAAAAATTTGTATTTTACATTGTGATAATGGAATTGAGTATTTTAATGAGTTTTTGGGAACTTTTTTGAAAGAAAAGGTATGGTTCATCAGTCTACTTGTTGGGATACTCCTCAACAAAATGAGATTGCTGAAAGAAAAAATAGGCATTTACTTGAAGTAGCACGTGCTATAATGTTTTCTATGCATGTTCCAAAATATTTCTGGGGGAAGCGGTTCTCACAGCGACCTACCTAATAAATAGAATGCCTACTAAAGTTTTAAATTTCAAAACTCCCATTGAGTCCTTTAAAAATATTTTTCCAATATCCCGCATATATTTTGATCTACCTCTCAAAGTTTTTGGGTGTACTACTTACGTTCACACCTAGTCATTTCAGGTCGAAACTTGACCCTTGCACTATTAAATGTATTTTCTTAGGCTATGCTTCAGGTCAAAAGGGTTATAAATATTTTGATCCTTAGATAAAATTTTTTTTTGTAAGTATGGATGTGTCTGTTTTAGAAAATCAACCATATTTTACCCAAAATTCTCTTCAGGGGGAGAAAATAAATTTGGAAGAGAATTTTTGGGATATTTCTGTTCCTCTTCCTAGTCCTATCTGTTCGGATTTTACTAGTCCTTCGATGTCAAGTATAGAAACTATTCAATCAGGGGGAGAAATACGACAAAATGATTTTGCGAATCCTTGTTTTGAGTTAAAGTTTTATACTAGAAGGAAATTCAATTAGAGGAACCAAGATCAAATAGTTACTCCTACAAAAATTCTCTTGTTGTCTCTGACCTTGATGTTCCTATAGCCATTAGAAAAGGCGTTCGAAGTTGTACCAAATATCCTATTTCGAACTACATTTCATATTAAAAACTATCAAATAGTCATAAGGTCTTCACATATAGGATAACTAATTTGTTTGTTCCAAGGAATAAACCTGAAGCTTTAGAAGATCCAAATTGGAAACTAGCTATCGTGGAGGAGATGAATGCTCTAAAGCAAAACAAGACTTTAGAGATAGTAGAGTTGCCAAAGGATAAGAAACCAGTGGGATGTAAATGGGTGTTTACCGTAAAATGTAATGCAAATGGTAGCATCGAGATATTCAAGGCTAGATTGGTAGCTAAAGGTTTCACTCAAACCTACGGGATAAATTATCAGGAAATGTTTGCTCCCGTTGCAAAAATTCTCTATTAGAGTTCTTCTGTCTCTTGCAGTTAATTCAAATTGGCCTCCCCACCAGCTTGATGTGAAAAATGCTTTTCTTAATGGCAACCTTGAGGAAGAAGTTTTTATGGATTTGCCACCAGGTTTTGAAAAAAAACTCGGATGGAATAGAATCTGCAGGTTAAAGAAATCTCTCTATAGCCTCAAACAGTCTCCTAGAGAAACAGGATTGCTTGGTTGCAGGATCGTAGAAACTCCTATTGAACCTAATTTGAAATTACAAGCAGCAAATGCAGAAGAAATACAGGATAGGGAACAATACCAGAGACTTGTGGGAAGATTAATTTATCTGTCACATACACGACCAGATATTGCATTTGCTGTAAGTATGGTAAGTCAATTCATGCATGCACCTGAATCAACTCATTTTGAAGCTGTCTACAGAATCTTGAGATATTTGAAGGGAATTCCTGGAAAAGGTATTTTATTCGAAAAGAATAATAACTTTCAAGTAGTAAGTTTATACTGATGCAGATTGGGCTGGAAGTACTACCGATAGAAGATCTACTTCTGGTTATTGTTCTTTGTTGGAGGAAATCTAGTTACATGGAGGAGCAAAAATACAAAATGTAGTGGCCAGGAGTAGCGCTGAAGTAAAGTTTAGAGCATTGGCTCATGGAATTTGTGAAGGTATATGGATTAGAAGGATGCTTGAAGAATTGAAGATTCCTCAGCCGACACCTATACAGATTTATTGTCACAATAAGTCTGCCATATCTATAGCTCATAACCCACTGCTACATGACCGGACCAAACATATCGAGGTTGACAAACATTTTATTAAAGAGAAGATTGATGCAGGTACAATATGTATCCCTTTATCTTCCGACAACAGAGCAACTTGCCGATGTTTTAACTAAGGGACTTCCAAAGAAACAATTCGACAATTTAATCAGCAAGCTGGCTATGGACGACATCTTCAAATCAGCTTGACGGGGAGTGGATTTATCGATATTTGTGTAAGTATTAGTTATTAATATTAGTTGTTAATATTTAGTATTGTTGATATTTAGTCTTTATGGTATTTATTGCTTTACTTGTTTGTAGTAGGTCTAGGTCATTTTACTATATAAGAAGATTTAAGTTACATGTTTGAATATATTAGAATATTTTTTACTCTCTCAAATTCACAAGTACATGATTTCCCAGATCTGTTCTTGCTTTCTTGCAATATGGATATAATGGTTGTAGATTGCTGGAATGAGGAGCAACATGATTGGAACTTGGGGCGGAGAAGAGGTTTGCTTGATAGGGAGGCTGACAGTTGGGTTTGCTTGGTGGCTAGACTTCATGCGATGAAGGTTGGGGATATAGCTACAGATCGTTGAACACCCATGAGAGGGTACAAAAGAGTGCCCTAATTGGGCTTTGTCGCCATCGGTTTGCTCAATGTGCTTAAGGGATGAAGAATTGCTAGACCATGTTTTCATCCACTGTCCTTTTGCTACGAGGGGTTGGCTCTTTTTGTTTGGTTTCCTTGGCTGGTCAGGTTGCATGCCGTGCTCTATAGAGGCATGGTTGTCAGAAGCTCTTTAAGGGGTAGCTTGGGATAGAGAAGGTTATTTTGTCTTGTGTAGCTAGAACTCTCCTTTGAAATATTTGGCTCGAAAGGAACGATAGAATTTTTGAAGATAGGTCTTCTTTTTTTGACCGTTATTGTGATAGTATAATTATCGTCTCTACGATTATTCGTGATTGGAGAGCTTTTATTTTGTAGCTGTGGGAGGGGGTTTCCTCATCGACAGCCCTTCTTTCTAAGGAAAGGTTTCTTTATAAAAAAAAGAAAAAGAAAAGAAAAGAAAGTCTTCTTGCCTTTTTATTTCTTTCACATTCAGAGAGAGAGAGAGACAGAGAAATGGCAAGCGCCTCCTTTTTTTTATTTGATGCACGTTTACGTGTATACACATATTCATATATATGTTTTTGAGTGTAGTTTGCAGTAGGGTACAACAGAAGAGGCATTGAAGAGACTGAGATGAAGACTTGCAAAGATAGTTCTGGTGCTAACGTTATGGCGAGTCGCGATAAATGCTTCAGCATTGTGGCCGCTGCGGTTAAAGATGTCGTCTCAAACGCTGTTGTGGATCTGAAATCTCCCGAGGTGAGCAGATTACTCTAATGCTGCCCACTACTTCCAATACATCTTTCATGCTATTTCATATTGTAATGTTGTCTTGTGCTGCACTGATTATCTTACAGTTCTGCGTCCTTGTTGAGCTGCTTCCCCTTTCTGGGTTGCCTCTGCCGTCGTTGGTAGTTGGGGTGTCAGTTCTTCCAAGCGATCTTGTCACGACGAAGCCACGACTTTGCATCAAAGCTTTGACTTCAGATACCAAGGCAAAGAGTTGAAGGCACAAGTCAATAGTATATTTAATTCTATTCATCTCATAGAAGAACAAGGTTGGAAAACTTCAGACTGCAGATTTTGAAGAAATTATTAAGATTTGTGAATTCATGTTCGTGTATGATTAAATTATTATTTTATTAATATATTTAAATATGTTAACATGTTTGTTAAGAAAGTTGATTTCTTCCTAGTGGGTGGCATGCTAACGCATTCAAATATATTAAACAATAATTTAATGACTACTTTTTTGTTAACAAATTTTAATGTTTTTTTTAATCTTTTTTCAGGAGAGAAGTTAATTGATCATTTTTAATAAATTAAGAGTAAAATTAAGAATCATCGAGAAGATAAAAAACTATTGGGCTGAAATGTTAGTATGGCCTTTTTAATAAATATAAATACATTAAAAAAAAACTTGCCTAAAAACTACAAAATAAATGCTTAAAAAAAAAGAAATCCGAAGAGCAAACCAAATATATTAAAGTTAAATAAGTTTAATAATATTTAAAAATATAAAATAAAGAAATTATCAATAACCTTAAAAAATAAAGAAAAATGGGAGGGAAGAGACGTTTTTTTTTTTTTTTGGTTTAATTTTAGAAACAAATAGAATTGCTTGCCAAATATATAAGTTTTTTTTTTTTAAAATAGAAACAAAAATAGGAAAAATAAAATTGTTTACCAAGTTTCTTTTGTTTCAGGGAAAGGACCTGATTTGGTTACTTTTTTTATTTTTTCAAAATTATTGTTGTGATCTGAGAAAAAGGAAAAAGCAAAATAATATATATATATCTATATCTATATCTATAATTTATAATCTATTCAAATGCTACCATCTTCGAAAAATATTTTTTTTTACCATTATGTCCCTTTACTATCCATGCGATTTTTTATGTTTTTAATAACTTTTATTAATAATAATGTGGAAGTTATGAATATGAAGGGGAAAAGTTTGACTTATTTATATCTAATAATTTATGATTTTATATTTAATTGGAATAAATAATGGAATTTTGGAATCTCAAAGGTTTCAACTTATCTATCTCCATGTATATAATGGAGTTTCTCTCTTACTTTTTCCATAACCATTTAGCTCTCTTTTTTTAGTCTACCTTTTTTACGGATTTAGTAGTGAAGGTCGATGTGCATATTTACTAAAAAAGATGAAAATAGAGTGACATATGCTTTGGCTCGCTTAGCAATGAAAAACGAAGATCATTGTATCTTGTTCGAAGATTGGCTAGAAGATATTTCTTTCCTTGTGCAAGAGGAGTTTGTTCCTCTTTCTTTTGTTTATGTTTAAAAGTAGTGTGGTATTGTACAATAGCCTATCACATTGAGTATTTTGATAGATAAAAATGATAAAGTAGTGTTGTTCTATAATGAAACGTAATTGAATCCTACAAAGTGGTATGATATCATATCTCAACAAGGTGTGGACAATATTAGATACTATTTTGAAATAAAGGTCTTCTGTAAATCTTTATAAATTGTTTCATAATTAATATTCTTATTATTTTCATTTTCAAAGTTTATTCATAGTTATAATTTTGAAATTTAATTTATACTATAGCTTTTTTTTAATTCATCGATGTAATATGATTCTTAATAAAATTTATTTCCTATTAACATATAACAAATAATATTATTATCTTTATTATATTTTTCTTTTGAGTTTTTTTTCTAATTCAATATGACATGTTTTAGTAAGTACTAAACAAAAAATTAGCTAAAAAATAATCTTTAATTTTAAAAACATTTTTTTAAATAAAGAAAATTCTTTTAAGCTAATTAATCTCTAAATTCTTTTTTTACCACTATGTTCCTTTATCAACTTTCAAATTTACTGAACATGTCATTTTTTTTTGTTTTTAATAACTTTTATTAATAATAATATGGAAGTTATGAATATGAAGAACTTGAATATGAAAATTTTGACTTATTTATATCTAATAATTTATGATTTTATATTTAATTTGAATAAATAATAGAATGTTAGAATCTCAAAAGTTTCAACTCACCTATCTCTTACATGTATATAATAAATACACAAATGAATATAATATGGATTCAAATAAGTACCATTAACTTTATATGAAATATTATGAGTATTTATTTTCTAAAAAAAATTGATAAGTCCATAATGCAATTAGACTACAAATTCAATAAAAATTTTATTAAGTAAAATATAATTTTTGAAAATTTAACTTTGAATAAATGAAAATTTAGATGTTAATGTATGGTACTAAAAAAAGTTTATTAATGTATGGAATTTAAAAGGTTGAATGAAAAAGTTATTATATTTCATTTTTAAATATTTTATCTTTAATTATAGAGCTTTAATAGAAAATTTTCAAAAATATTACAACTTTTACACTTTCTAGAACTATAAAAGGAAGTTTTCTTTCACCGATATTTCACTGTCATACTATGTTAATATAATATAACGTTGAATTGAAAAATCTTATGTGGTGGTAGTAGACTAGTATATATAAATGATCTGATAAATAAAAATTTGAAAATTCAAATTCAAAATTTTAAATTTTAAAGTATCTTTTTTCAAACCATATTTTACTCAAATCTCCCTCATTTTCTCATTTTCTCACTCTCTTTTTTCTTCTCTCTTACCACTCTCCCATTAAGCAACCTTCTCCTCTTTTACATTTTCTCACTCTCCCTACTAATGGCAATGAGGTAGATATTCTATTTGATAATCACTCTGATGCAAATTTTCTTTTCTATTAACTACAATGATACATATTTTCCTTTCTATTAATCACTATGATGTAGATTCTCCTATATGTTAATCACTATGATGGAGATTCTTCTCTTTGTTAATCATAACGATGCAGATTATCCTCTTCGTTAATCACAAAGATGTAGATTATCCTCTTCGTTAATCACAATGATGTAGATTTTCCTCTCTGAAGCCCTCTTGTTAGAAAAAATAGCTCAAGGCCCGCAACCCGTCAACAAAAAGTGATGCATGGAGTTCTAGAAGTGAGCAACAAGATATGTTAATCACAATGATACAGATTATCGTCTCAGTTAATTGCAACAATGCAAATTATCCTCTCAGTTATCACAACGATGCAAATTATCCTCTATGTTAATCACAACGATTCAGATTCTACTTTTTGATAATTAGAATGATGCAGGTTATCCTTAACCAAAATAATATTTCTCCTCTCTATTAAACAAGAAATGCTAGACACAAAACAACTCCCTTTTTCTCTCTCTCTCACATGTACGGTTCTCTTTCCTCATATTTTCTTCACATTCTCTCTTGCCCATACAAGGCGATCTTCTTTTTTCCCTTTTTTTCTTTTTGCAAGAGAGTAGAAAGGGCTCCAAACTCACCAAGTTTCTTCATTCTTTCATTCTTTAATTTCCCTCGACATGAGGACAGATACAGTGGAGGAAAACAAAACTCTCTGGTAATTGTAAGCAATATTACTCTTTCCTCTATTTATCAGATAGGCCACCTTTAAATTTTTTAATTTTATGGAAGAGGAAAAGAAATATACATTGTAATAAGTAATATTTCTGTTCATCTTTTTCAATATATTTACCTTGCGGGAAAAAAAAGGGAAAAAAAAGAAATATACATTGTAATAAGTAATATTTTCTCTATAAATTATTGTATTGATATATATTTTTTTGTTTATCAATCATCAAATTTTCGAGATTCGATCGTTTTTCTTTTATATAATTTTTAATTTGAATTTTGAAGAGTCAACGGGAATAAATTTGGAGATTAATGTTATAAGTTGCATTTTTTCTTTTAACTTCACATCAGATGTACAAGATCCTCAATAAAAATTATGAATTCGCCACTATAGGCCCACCAAACTTAGATGAAATTAAAATACTTTAGTATAATTTAGGGGGGGTGGTGCCTCATTTTAATAAATGGCCAATACTATCATAATTTGCACAGAGAGCCAACCAATTTTCCAGGAAAATTCATGGTTGATTTTCTAACTTTACCCCTCTTCTAGTTTAAACCTCACCTAAAAAAGTTTAATTTGGAATTTACTATATTTCAAAACAAACCTACCTCCCCCTAGTTGGTTTTTAAGTAGATTTAATTTTAAATGGAAGGGTTTAATTGATTTTAGTAATAAATTAAATTTGAATTCTCTTTCAAAAAAATTTATTTTACTCCTGACCGATTTTCCAATTTGAATCTCTTGTTTGCCTATGTCTACCTACCCCAATTATGTTTTGCAATTGAATTTCATCTCTATCAAATAATGCTGAGTTTAGTTTCAATATTTTCATTTGCTTATTGGATATTGACTTTTGATTATTGTCACAATTTTCACGAGTGTGTATGTATGCCTAATATCTTGATGATATTTGTACTTATATTTTCATCTCTATCAAATAATACGTGGCTAGTTTTATATCTACATTGGCTTTTTGCATATTACTGTTATTATTTTGTACAAATTTTCACCAATGTGCATAACTATTTCGATGATATTTGCACTTAGGTATATATGCAGAAAAGATAAAACCAACAATAATATACATCAAAGTTGAGAGTCGATCATCATAAGTAAATCAAGTAAAATGAAAAGTAAATATCATTGAGGTAGTTAGGGCTATATACAAAAGATAAATCCCATAAATTTAGAAACTCAGAGGTAAATATGCATTCATAATAAAAGTAAATGGTTTAGAAGTCTTTTCATCATTACAAGCAATAAATGTAAATATAAATAGTTCTATAAATCCATAGGTAAACTACCTCAAAGAATAAGAGTTAAATATAAATAAAAAAATGAGAGGTAAGTATGCATATATCCAAATAAGGAAAATACCCATGCAAGTTCTAAAAACAACAAATAAATGCAATAATTTATTCCATTTTGAAGGAGAAGAAGTTATTCTCAGGTTGCACCCCTTCCCTCTTCCTCGTTTTCTAATTAAAATAATGAATTGCATTTCTTTTGAATGCTCTTTAGAGGATGTTATGTTAACGACCTTTAATTGTCAAATCATTTATGTTTTAACCGTTAAAAATTGTTCTAGTATAGATTTGCATATATATACCTAGTAGTCAGGAACTATTTTATATAAAAGAAATAATAATGCACCAAATATAAATACACATCTCTAACCGTTAAAAAAAA